TCTCTGCTGCCAGACAGTTTGTTACAAGGGGGATTAAAGGGGTCCCCTGGGTAATATGCAGTTCAATGGGGGCCTTCTCCAGACACTTGCTTCTCTAGAGGAATGGAGAGAGGCGGATGGCCAACCGGAGACAGCTTCCAACCATTTATGCAAATCACTGACCGCCTGTGGCCGCCAGGGCCCTGCAAAGGAGACTCAGAGGAGTAAGGTGGGGCCTCACTCTTCCAAAACTACCAGTCCCTGAGGACGAAACGGGCTCTCCCAAAGCGAGCTGTGTGCCAGGCACACAGGTGAACAAACAAGGAGTCACGTCTGACAATAAAAAGGTCACTTTTGTTTGTTTTAGAGAGCATGTGTGGTGGGGGGGGAGCTGCAGGGAGGGGCAGAGGGAGGGAGAGAATCTCAAGCAGGCTCCACGCCCAGTGCGAAGCCCCACGTGGGGCTCGATCTCATGAGCCTGAGATCATGACCTGAGCTGAAATCAAGAGTCGAACGCTCAAGTGACTGAGCTGCCCAGGTTGCCCCCAAAATGGTCACTTGAATTGAAGACTTGATAAAAGTGCCAAGGAAGAGGTAGCACCTGGCCTGGGCCCTGAAAGAAGGGAGACAAAGCCACAGGCAGGGGAGGGGGAGGGCCAGGCCTGCTACCCATGCTGCTCTGTCCCCCATCAACCAGGCAGGTCTCCACTGCAACAGGAATGAAGAGCTCCTGGTTCTTCAAAGCTGCCTAGTCCACCAGCCTCCCTCTCTTGGCCTGTGTTTGTCATCTTCGCGGGGTCACTTGTGATTCTGACCAGGGACCTGGGGAGGCTATATAATCTCCTTGTCCTTGGTCTAAAGACAAACCATTTCACCCCTTTGGACCTCAGAGGACTCTGCAGAAATGAAGATAATACTCTGTCTCACATGGTGATTGAGGCTCAAAGGACACGGGGCAGCCTGTGGTAGGCAGTGCAGTGCATTTGGTGTGGGACCCAGGAGAGCAGGGCCAAGGGTCAGTCTTTGAGGTAGGGAGCCAGTAAGTTTTCTATTCTATAGGCAACGGCTCTCTAAACCCACGCAGGAGCCTCAAAAGCAGACGCACAAGGGAGCCTGGGTGCAAAGATGGGTGGAGGCTCTGCCTTGCTGCTGCGTTGGGACACGCTTGTAGCCAGATCCTCAGCGTCAAAGGGCCTTCCCTAACCTGGGTTGGCGTTAATGCCCCTGCAGCCACGCCCTCTGGCAGGCCTTCGCATACTGTATTCTAATAATGGTTTAGAACACTATTAGGCTACTTAAGAGCAGGGGTGTGTTTTATATGTCTGTTTTCTACTAAAGTGCTTAGCACACAGTAACCTCGAACTATCTGTCCAGTGACCAGATGAACATTCTCCTTCCAAACGACCAGTCCATCCAAACTGCAGCTGATGGGTCCTCTCCCTCTGCTCTTGTGTGTGAGAACCCAAAGCTTCCCAGTCTACATGTGATCTCACTTGAAGTCCCCCCGCCACCGGGCCCTCTGCGGTTACAATGATCTTAGCAGCCCAGACGGCAGCCCCCTCCCCGGGTCATCTCTGTCAGCGTGAGATAGGCCAGGGACTCATTGCTCGGTCCCCGAAGACACCTTTTCTGCCTGCAGGTTAAGCAATGTCCATCATTCAGTGACACTGAAATAGGGGGAAAGGCAGCAGGAAATAACCACACCCCACAAGTAAACATGGCCAGTTAGCCAGCAGAGCCTTCGGCCATCTGCAGAGGCCCCACCGATGACCTGACTGCCCGCCTCCAAGGCCTTCCTCCCCGGCCACCAGCTCCCACCTCCACACCCGCTGCTGGCCGGTTTCCTCACTGCCCTCTGCCTCCTCCCACCCCCAATCCGATTTTCAAAGTGTCCCCCGAATTAGGCTCCTCTCTCTGGATCCCTGAGGTTCGAAGCCCCCCCCTGGTCTGTGGCAGTGGGTTAAGTCCCAGCCACTCCCCTGAGCCTTAGTGTCCTGTTTGTCACTCAGGAATAAAAATGACAGCACCTCATGAGGTTCTACTGAAGATGAAAGGAGAAAAAATCTGAAACTCTCTGGGACACCGCTATGTGTGTGTGTGTGTGTGTGTCTGGTTGCCTCCCCATGACAGTCCCCCTCATGGCGGCACAGAAACCACCTCACAGCAGCCCGACTCCCCCTGCGGACAAAGCAAACTCCCTCCCTCGGGGTGAAAAGGAAGGGGGAAGAACCTAGAGTAATAATAGCTGCGGAAGGTTGCTTGCCAGTTGGACAAGCTGGGGTCAGTCGGGGGCAGGCAGTGCTCAGAGGGTGTAGCCTTTACAGCAGAAGCGAGGGATCTGGGTCTTTGCATAACCAACCACATGACCTTTGGGCAAGTCCCTTTCCTCCTCTGTCCCTCAGTTTCCTCACCTGTGAAACAGGTCAACATCTCTGTGCTACCTACTTCAGGGGGGGTCTCTGAGAAGAAGGTACTGTAGAGCCTGGAGTGACAGTGAGTAAGGGTGGGGCCCAGAAGGCCTGGGAGTTCAGTGGGGCAATGACAGGGTCAGAGGCTGCCTCTGCCAGGGGTGTGCTCACCGGCTTCTGACTCAGTTTTCGGACGCTCGCACCAGGCCCCACACAGTACTCCCCCTAGGAGAGCTCTTTCCTCCTGCCAAAGCTGCTTGCTGTTTTGTTTTGTTTTGTTTTGTTTTGTAAACGATTTTATTTATTTTGAGAGAGTGCGTGCATGTGCAAGTGGAGCGGCGGGGGGGGGGGGGGGGGAGGGGGGGGGGGGGGAAGCAGACTCCCTGCTGAGTGTGGAGCCAGATGACTCTGGGGCCAGGACCCTGAGATCATGACCTGAGCTGAAGTCAGACGCTTAACTGACTGAGCTACCCAGGTGCCCCCAAAGCTGCTTGCTGCTTTGAAGGAAAAATCTTTTGCTCCTGCTCCCAAGTCTCTTAATGGAGAAATTGCCCATTCCAGTTTCCTTCTCTTTCCCCTTTCAACCGTGCAATTCACCTCCCTCAGAAGGCCTTCCCAGATTAGGCTCAAAAAAATGCTTTTCTTTCCAGCATGCCCCAGTATTTGAGTTAACTGAGAGCAAAAACCACAGCTTATATCCTTCTATGGCCGGAGCCTGGCACACAGTGGGCACTCAGGAAGTAATGACTAGTTAAATATGTACGTACTGTTCTCATTCACAATTGTTAAAGTTTCTGTTGTTAAATTTTAAAGAGCTAAGAACACTGCATGACACAGGAGACTCCTGACATCCCACGGGGGACTAGCAGCCCCAGTGGGCAGGGGTCCTGTCTCTCCCTTTCTGTAACAGGGGCACACAACCTGTACCTCAGGTTGTGACCAGGCTAGCTCCATTCAAGGCCCTTGGTTTAGTCCTGCTGCACTACCACCAGACAGCAGGGCAGGATGGCACAGTGATTAAGAGCAAGGACTCTGGCTTTTGAATCCTGGAGCAGCCACTTACTTGCTCTGTGACCTTTGGCAAGCAACTGTTCTGAAACAAAAAAGGCAACTACCCATCTCACCGAGTTGTCGCGAAAAGTAAAAGAGAACATGAAACTATTAGCACAGTGCCTGGCACATATGAAGTGCTAACAAATCAAGGCTTTTAGTATTGCATCATGAGACCTGACCCCTTACCCCAGCTGCACAGTATCATCATCCTTGCCTTTCTCTTTTGCAGAATGCAGTATACAAAGAAAGCTCAGGCAAATAAGGAGGAATTTCTTAGAGAGGGAGGGTGGAAACATGGACAGTGAAAAGTTAATGCTTCCTTCTGGCAGCCAATCTAGCCAACAACCTGCATCACCCCTCCCAGGAAAAGGAGTGTCCCCACTGGTCTTTCTGGGTTGGTCTTCCCTCCCAGGCCACTTCAGCCTCCGGGGGTAACAGGACTCAACCACATCCACTGAGCTGAATTAGAACGGTGAGCCCAAGCCACTCCTGTTGTATATTCTGCACCCGGCGCTAAAGGTGCTGGTGTTTCTAACAAATCTCTGTGTGGGGGAACCAGGTTTAACAAATAAAAGTACAGAATCCTCCATTAAATTTGAACTTCAGCAAACAAAGAACATCTTAGTATCAGTATGCCCCATGCAATGTTTGAGGCATACTAATACCAAAAATTATTTGTTGTTCATCTGAAATTCAAATTTAACAGGCCGTCCCATGTTTTACCTGGAAACCCTACCCAAGTTGCCCCTAGGCAAGGGCACAGAGTAAAGATTAAATTCTTCCCCCTGCCCCACAACCTACTGGTCCACCAGTATCCTAACCAGCCACTCTGGAAACATCTCCTCCTTTCAACCCCCAAGCAGAGAGACACGGTAAGTGAGAGCTTGCCTGACCCCCAACCCCAGTTGTTGAGTCCAGTGATGTGCCTTGTCAAAGTGGCCAGCACAGAGCCAGGCATAGTAGGTGCTCAAAATACATTTCTTCATTTAATCCAGGCCGCTTGACTTCTAGTACTGGCCCCCAAGGGGGTGTGAATGCTAGTCCAGTCTTGACTCTGCGGGCCCTCCTAAGAACAGCTGAGGGTTTTATTAGCATTTCGCTTTTGGCTGGGGTAGGGGTGGGGAAGTCCCACCACCCAGTTCCTGGGGTTGACTGAAGACCAAATGAGAAAATGGCCTGGGGTAGGTTTTGTAAATCCCTGGGCAGCACATGGGTTATTATCAAGAACTCTGAGAGGCCCATTGTACCACAAAGCCCCACAGCCCCCAGTCTTCCCTACAGAGAGGAACCTGACAGGGAAAAAGCAGCACAGAGCGGAGGAAAGCCAGCCCCTCTGGACACTAATAATGACAACTGTCTAGCACCTTGTGATTTGCCAAACACGTCCCCATCCATCCTCTTTAGAGGCCTCACCAGCCCCTCGGCTTAAGGGAGGGTTCTGGGCCCATTTTCCAGAGTGATCAGGAAGTCCTGCCCCAGGCCCTGCTTCTGAGGTGGGTCCTGGTCCAAGAGGCTGCCCCGGGGTGGGGGTGTCCCACCGGTGTGGGGGGCGGGGCCTACCTTCTGGGCCTGTTGGATCATCTGCCTGACCACCTGCTTGAGGTGGGGCGCCTTCTCCTCCTTGGGCGGGTGGGTGAAGAGGGTGATGCGGCTCACGCCGCGGTAGACGCCCGTGTCGGTCCAGCCCAGGTCCAGCGGGGGCACCTCGGTGTCGGAGCGGTCGGGCCAGTAGGCCAGGGACTCGCCGGGCTCGGCCGGGGCCTGCGCCGGGGCTTTCGCCTTGGCCTTGCTCTTGCCCCGGGCGGCGGCGTTGGCGGCGACGGCGGCGGCATCCTCGTAGGGGCTCCAGGCGGCGCGGAGGGCCTGTTGCTCCCGGCTGGAGAGGAAATCCCGCAGCTGCTCCTTCTTGACCAGCTCGCGGTAGGCCCGCTCGCCGCCGCGCAGCAGCGCCTCCAGCGCGGCCCGCCTCCGCTCGCAGTAGTAGAAGGCAGCCTGCGCCTCGGTCACCCTCTCGTTCACGTGCGCCTCGTCCAGGCAGCTCAGCTGGGACTCGGCCATGGCGCTGCGGCCGCCCGCCCCGGCCCCGGCCTCGGCCGCGGCCCCGGTCGCCCCGCCGCACCTGGAGCTGAGGGGCGGGGCGCCTCACCGGGCCGCGAGGTCGGCCAATCGGCGCGGGCCGGGGCGCGGGCGCGGCCGTCGGACGGGGAGGGTCGGCCGCGCCCTACGCCTCGGGCGGCGGGGGTGGTGGTGGTGGCGCGGACCTGGAGCGGAGCCGGCGGCCTGGGGGTCGGGAGTGGGCTAGTTCCCGGGCGGGACGCGGCGGGGCCTAGGCCTGAGGGCCCGGGAGCTCCAGGATGGGCAGGAACTTGCCGGGGTGGGGGTGGGGGGGGTCCCGGTTAGACGCACGTGAGGCCTCTGGCCCGCTTCTGCCTCCGGGCCCCGACCCCCCGGTGGCGATCTAACCCTTCCTGCGGCCTGGCAGGGCGGGACACGGAGCAGGCGCGCGTCCATCTTCTCCGCAGTTATGGCCGCGAGCAAGTGCTTCGGTCGGGGTGCCTCGGGGGTAGTGGATCTCACCACTCCCCGCGTGGAGGGTCTGGGGGCCCCTGCTGCCAGATGGGATTGTGACGGCTGGGGGGAGGTGGTTGTGTGCAAAAGCGAAATGCTAATAAAACCCTCAGCTGGCGGCCCACATGTCTCAGTTCTGAGATCAGAGGGCTCCAGAAGCTGCCAATACAGCACCTTCACCACGATAAAAATTTCTTTAAAAAAAAAAAAAAGAAAAAAAGTCCAGATACAGCAAGGATTTAAGCTGCTGTGGTGGAATTCCCCCCCCATTTTAATTTGAACTGACGTGTGTGTGTGTGTGTGTGTGTGTGTGTGTGTATTTGGGCAAGATAGGCTGCCAGAGGCCTGATTACTATATTAGTGATTCAAAGTGCATGTTTGAGCTCAAGGAAAGAAGCCACACACACACACACACACACACACACACACACACACACACACATCACCAGCAGCCGCTGCTCTGCTGTTTCCCATTGGATTAAATACAATCTTCTTAGTCATTAACATATTATTTTGTTCATGCCCTGCTGTACAATTTGATTCTCCACATTCAAAATATTTTCAGATCATAGCAACCAAAGGTTCACATTTCTCCCATTTTATAGCACAGCATCTCAGAGCTGGAAGGAGCATTAGAAACTAGTCCAACCCCCTCATTTTACAGCTGAGGAAATTGAGGCCTTGAAGCACGTGGTCTAGCCCCCCCTCCCACAGGAGAGGCTGTGCCTGGGGGCTATTAGGTCCTCTGCCTCTCAGTGATCTTTGCCCTTCATCTCAGCCACCTTTGCCCTTTCTCCTTGTGAAATGACAGAAGGTTACTGGGGACCTGATTTTAAACCCCAGGGAATTTGAAGAGGTTGCCTGCTATTTCTGGGCCTTCCTTTGACAGTGTAGGAGAAAAAAAAATGAGGGCCAGATTGTCAAATAGCTGTGACTATTGTGACAGTAGTCAGTCCTGGCACCCAGTGTCAGCTCAAAGATCAGTGGTGGTGGGCAGCAAGATGCCTATCACCTTGGCAACCTTAGGAATGGCAAGGCCTCACTTCTGGCACATTTTACGCTTAATTTCATCTTTAGATAAGTTTCGTCTTTAGAATGGAGACAAGTTTGCTTCCTAAGGATTTGGTCCTAACAGATGACAGACTATGCCCTGGGGGCATAGAGGAGCTGGGGAGGTGGGGGGAATAACACAGGTGTGGTGAAAGTGCTCTGATAAACTCAAGCAGCAGTGCACTGGGAGCAAACATTTACTCAACGCCCATTATGTGCCGGGCGCGCAGTATGCACTTAGTACGTAGTTCTTTAAAACAGAATGAATTAGAGCCAAGAGAAAGGTATGTGCAGGGAGCTGTGGGGACTGTGAGGGAAGAAATAATTAATCTTGTCCAGTGGGATGTGGATAAGAGAGGCTTCACCCAGCAGGAGGGGATTTTGAGTGGAGCCTAAAGGACGAGAAGATTTCAAGGGGAGAGAGGGAGTGAAGACACTCCAGGCAGAGGGATATGGCCGGAGCATCATGCCGGAATCAGGCACATGAGGCTTCAGGTCAAGATCCTTAACCCTCAGAGCCTTAGTGTCCTCATCTGCAAAATGGGATAACAATCCCCATTTCCTAACACCTCCCAGATTGTTGTAGGGATTAAATAAGATCTGGTGTTCGGTTTAATTAGCTTTTGTGTCTGGCTGGTAGAAAGTGGTTTACAACATTGCTTCCAACACATTCCTGTGCATAGAAATCACCTGGAGGACTTGTGAAAATTTGGATTCTGATTCAGTAGGTCTGAGGTGAGCCCGAGATTCTGCATTTCTAACAAGCTCCCAAGTTATGCTGGTAGCGAGGGCCCACAGACCGCGCTGTGCCCAGCAAGGATTTCAGAGGCCAGTGAAGAAGAGCGTGAACTTTCGTGTCAGGAAGTCCTGGAATGAATCTCACTTTCTTGAGACAAGTTGTGTGTCCCTGGGAAAGTTACGTCCCTTTTCTGAACCTTGGTCACATCTTCAGTAAAATATGGGCAATAAAAAGTCCTACCCTACGGGGCTTCGTGAAGTGTCTGGCCTGGCGGAGAAGCCAGTAAAGGGTTGTTAGTGTTGAAGTGTGGGAAGATGGGACTGGAAAGAGGGATATTGGGGCTACATTGTGGGGAACCTTAATTTTAGATCTTATCCTGTAGCCAGAGGGGAGGCACTGAGGGTTATTAAGAGACTGATATGATCATTAAAAAAAAGTAGCAGTAATTACTATGTGCCAAGCACTGTGCTAAATATTTTAGGGATCCTTCAAATGAATTAATGTAATCCTATTTTAAACATTATTATCATCCCCATTTTATAGGTAAGAAATCTGAAGCACAGGGAGGTTCAGTAGCATACTCTAGGTCACCCAGCTAGTGAGTATGAGAGTCAGGATTTAAACCCAGATCATCTGACTCCAGAGCTTGCCTACCCACCTGCCTTGCTATATTGCCCCTGTTGAGAATGTTAGGAAGGGGCATTAGTGAGAGACAGTGTTCCCCTTGCTTACTAATTTATTCATTCAACAAACATTTGCTGAATGCCTAGCATGGTGTTCTGGGTTAGAAACCGTTCATTCATTTAGAGATCCTTAATGAGCCTTACTAAAGCACAAGGCTCTACTCTAGGTGCTGGGTATAGCTCTGAACCAAACCAAGTCCTTGCTCACGTGGAGCCCACATTGAAGTGCAGTGATTAAGGCATGGTTTTTGCTCTCAGGAAGCACAAATGTTATGTGACATAAGTTGGAATTGGACAGAAGGTTAGAATCAGAGTAGAATATTTTAGTAACAGTTGACATTGGAAAAGATCTCTCCTGGATGTAACTGATAGGAAACACACTGTGGTCTTTTTGGAAGAATCCCCCTTTAGGTACCAAGGGACTTATTTATTCAACTACCATTTTTGAGCAGTTAATGTGTAGTAGATAACATGCTTGTCACTGGGAATAAAGAAAAGAGGAATCAGACTCAATAGCCTGGTGGCTGCCTTAGTTTCGCCGGGAGTCAGATGCCCCCAGCTGTCTTTGCAAAGCAGGGGACAAGTGACGGCATCTGCGTTGTCAGGGAGGTTGCAGGCTGTGGAGTCACTTTAACATACAATTATCCAATTTGATCTGCCCCAATCTGGTGAAGTAGACTCTGAAAGGGATTACAGGGAGGGGTTAAAGATGAATAAAGTGAGACTCCAGGGGAGGACCCGTTCCAGGTTATCAGCTGGCAAGTGGAAACGCAGGGGCATCCGTCCACGCAGCCTGACCCCCCACCCGACCCCGGCCTTCCACCCTCCCACACAGCTAGACACTGTGCATTGTCACTGAGGTTTTTAAAAAGACTTACCCGCCGGGAAATCGATTCCTTTCAGGCACAGGCTCTATCTACTTTGCATCTGGGGACATTCCATGAGGCGGTGACACCCTAGGAGAAAGCCTCTGGCCCTGCACCAGTCCCTTCAGTCCTGGGTCTGGAGTTTCCCTGAGCAAGGTGGCGTCCTGTCATGCTTGCATTTCCAACTTTGGAGGCCCCTTTGCTCAGGGTGACTGCGCCTTCCAGAGAAATCGTGCCGCCTCCTCCCGCAGATGCTGCCCCCTCCCACCCAGGTCCTTGGCTCCCGGTCACCTTCCTCTCCCCAGGGCACGCTGCCTGCTGTGTGTGCAGTAAAGATTCGACACCTTGTAGTTAATGCTAATTGCAACTCTGTTCATCTCCAGGCACTATTTTCCCAGGCTCTCCTGTGTAATTCGAGTCCCAAAATAGCCCACCTCATGATACATCAGCTACATGTCCCAGGGCTGACTTTTTCTCCTCGGCGGGAATTTGTGTCATGAGCGCCTGTTGTAAAACTTTGGGGACGCTTCGTGCCCGCTCCCTATCCCCAGAGAGGATGAGAGAGCAAGAGGAGGTGGATGGGGCTGGCGCCATGGGGAGAAGGGTGTAGATTCTAGGACCGAGCTAGATGAGCAAAGTCTTTCTCCTCTGACCGGCTCTGCTGGCCCCAAGGAAGGAATACACCCAGGTCTCTCCCCCACGCCCCTCCCCCAGCCACAACTTACCGGAAGCTTCATCTTTTTATTCATGAATGGTTTTGAGGCATGGGTTATGTACTAGGCAAGTTCCTGTCCTCCCAGACCTTCCAGACTCGGGGACTTTGTTGTATCTGCAACCTTGGAAGCATGATGTAGGTTCCCCTCCCCAACCACTCTGCCAACTGCTTCCCTCTCAGCTCCAGAACATTCTCCTCCACTGCATACCAGTTCGTCAGGCTGCCCACTGGTCCTCTGTACTCGGATGTCCCCCAGGCACCTCCACTGCAAGGGAGGTCTCAAAAGGAACCCACTCCCACTTCTCTTCTACCCTCACCCCGCCACTGTTCTTTCTGGGTCTCTCTGCTCCAGAATGACACCACCACCTGCCCGGTTGCCCAAGTGGGAAATGTGCACGTGTCTTGACTCTTGTCCCTCCCTCATGGCTACCAGACCA